AGGCATGCATTCTTCTGCTTTGTTTTGATGAAAGCTCATTTCCCATTTGACACATTACTCCACACAGCTCTTTGCAGGCTTATCTTCCATCCCCAACCATGATTCAGTAAAACCGTTACATAACATTTGGCTGAAACACTTAAAATTCTCCCACCTAGTTTTAACATAAACAGAAGTGCTAGTTCTTTTGTATGTGATTTCAATAATGAGAGGTTTGAGATAGCTTTCCATAAGAGTATATGGTCACATTAAAATATGATCTAGTTTGAAAACATGTGATGACTATGAAGCGAAGCACTCCAGTGCCCCATCCCTACAGCAATACAAGAGGGAAGGGAGGCAAGCTCAGCTATCAGATAGCGGAGCTGACAACCTGGCTTAAGACACCTCCCTTCATAGCCTCCCAACACAAGTGAGAGAACAGTCTTGGAGAACGGACTTTATGCTCTCCCTGTAGCAGCTCTGCAGCAGGGAACAGCCAGAGAAAAGCTGAAGTAATCGGAAAGCTAAACCATATTAAAGGCTTAGTAGCCCCCAGCCAACCCGAGGATTAGGGAACAACCACAGAGCCATCTTTCCCCTAAATTTGTACACATGCTGAGCACAACACAGCTGAACCACAGCCACACTGTGTCACAAAGGAGTTGATAGTTTTCATTTACACGTATTTTGGAAACAAATCCCACATGTGAACACCTACAAACCTAAGGTGAACAGGACAAATCTCTTTTTGTTGTCTCAAGCAACATAAAGGCCAAAAAATAACAAGATGCATGCACACAAAACTGTCAAATTCCTCAAAATGGCATCTTTCCCTCTAGAAGGAATATGAGGAATGGCTAGTGACCACGCACTAAACACAGTGTTATTTTCAGCCTTTTTCTTTTCTGTCAATACATACAACTGCACAGAGGAACAGCATGGATCTGACTATGACCATGAAGGCATAACGTGCACTGTCCTGCACTAAGTCACAGGAGACACTGTTTTTATTTAAAACCCCACGTACATTGATAACACTCAAAGTGGTTTATTCCTTTGGACACTCACGCTCTGGAACGGAGACATTATGAAGATTGTTCCCGATCAGCTGGGACTGAAATGCTGAACTGAAGAAACCATCCCCCGGACCGCTACAAAAGAGAATAAAGAATTTAACAATTCAAAGTCTGGCAAAACAGGCATACAAAGCTCTGTCACACATTACCAAATTGTTTTTACAGAAGGAAAACAATAAACCCAGACATGGCATCAGGACAGGAATGACTGCAGTTCCCCTAGATGCACACAACTCTAATGTTGTGAATCATAGCAGATACAGCCTTGCAGAAAATTGTCCAGAGCTGCAAGGACTTGAGGTCACAAAAATGTACATGCTGGCACTGCACAAAGCACCATCAACTATCTTTGGAGATGTTCTTATGACAAAAAAACTGACCCACTACCAGATTAGATACAAGAAAGCCTCTCTGTGGTTCCTTAAGTCTCATTTCTGCTAAGAGGTTAGTGGTAAGACCAGTTGACAAACTGAAAAATAACAGATTTAATTATTTTTTTTTTAATAGTGAAATGCTTATTCACCTCATCTCTTAATGCTGGCATACAGAAAAACATTACTTGGCCATTTTACTAGCTGTTGTGCTCTTTCCACATAAAAAGCATCCCTTGGTTGCAGGCATTCAGAGAAGAGTCCTCCCTTTGGGAACACTCAGACTTATGTTTTTAATCACAGCCAAAGCATTTTTCAGGAATGGAATGCCTTTTTTTTTTTTTTTTTTTTTTAAACAAAAACAAAAAGAAAAAGAACTGAGTTGAGACATTTCCAGGTCCAGGAAAGAGAGGAGGAAAAAAAGGAGACAGAGAGTTTGGTTAGGATACTTGCTTGGCATTTCAGAAAGTCTCAAGCTCAAATTCAGTTTCACTGCCAGCTTGGCCAGAGCCTTTCTGTAAGAACAATGCAGGAGTCTGGGAAAGGAATTAAACAAAGACACAGCTTGTGGCTGTGTTTCTGACACTGAAAGTGGAGAAATCCATAATCAATAACCTTTAATTCAAAGCAAAGACAAGCAATTCTTCTTCTGGAGAAAACATTGTGAAATACCTTTTATTTAATACTGTAAAATGAACAGCAAACATAGCCGTGTAGAGGGCAAGCGGGAGCAGGATGAGGCAGAGTACACGAGCCAGTAAATGCTTCCCAAACATCACCTGTAACAAACACAACCTGGATCAAACAGTGCAGCTGCAGGAGCAACTCTAGTCCTTACTTAACAGGACTCTGAGCAGTAGTCCTATAGCTGGAGCTTGCCATGCAAGCAAGCTCAGCAGGCTGCAGAATTACCTCAAAAGGGCCTAGAGAGAGGTAAAAAGCTTAGGCAGACCATGCTGTACATCTCCAAAAGCTGGAGCTGTGGTACCTTGAAAATTTGGGGTCCTGGGAGGAAGACAAAACCAGGCAATAGGACAGTTTAACTTTCCAAAGTGCTGAGCATCCCTAATTTTGGCAAAGGAGGTTGGGCAGCTCCCATTGACAATACTTTGAAAACAAGGACCTTAACTTGTGTGTCAGTGGTACACATCTTGACACAAAATCACAACAAGGAGATAGCTTCCAGAATAGTAACTGTCAAAGCTAAGCAAAAGGGAAAATGAAAACTTGTTCTCCCAACAAGTCACCCTATGCAAATGTGAATGTAACCAGGACTGCTTGGGGACCTAGATATGCTTCATTCACAGAAACCAGCTCACTTTAGCGAGGATGCTCTCCCACTGCAACTTCTGTTGCTCAGTCAGAAGTTACAGAAAAGTCAGCAGCAAAACCTATGAGTGTTTCAGCTGAAAGCAGAGTATTTCATTTAAACCACTTGGAAAGGCAGTTTGTACACAGATGCACAAGAAGCAATTACATATTCACATCCTACTGACACTGCTGGTGGTAATGTAAAATACAGGGTGGGCAATAAATAGCTGTGGGAGAAGAAAACACTTAAATAGGAAAAATGGTTTGCTAAATGTCCCCATCTAACTTCAAAGCAGATAAAGGTAGATGTGCTTGCTATCCTCCATATTTTTTTTACATGGTACCTATCACACAATAATTAAGCTAATCATTCTCCATCCGTGAATACCAGATCCAAAGATTTCAGAAGCAATGGAAAAAAAGCTGAACACATTACAAAACTAAGAACTTACTGAAGTCAACAAAGGAAACAGTTGCTCAGCTCAAGTACTTCAGCAGAACACTTAACCACTGGGCACTTGTAAAAATGCTGATTGATGGTACATAACCAAATTTATGCAGTGGAGAGGCACATGAACTAATCTCCAGTTCCCTGCTGAAAATGACCACAATACGCTTCAATTGTGAAAAGGTTCAGACTTCAATGCAAAGTCAAAGACGACAATGCACATGAAGGACAGCACTGAGCAAACCAGAACAGTGGACCAAGACAAGCTGAGAATTCTAGAAATCAAATTAGTCCCAAAAACATTGCATGTAAATAATCATGAGTAGTTTCCTAACAAATGCAGAGATAAGTTATTCAGCCTTTCAGGGGTTTAATCCTCACTTCTTTTTCTGCCCCGCCACCCTCAAGCACCAAGGTTGCCAAATAGTTACTCAGAAAGCATCTACCTTCTGCAGTAAATTTCTTTACATATTCTAACACTCAGGGGCTTGCTGCCTTTGCTGCCAGCAGCACAAATGAAATCACTGTGCAGCCGTCTGCTGGCAGAAAGCTTAGACATGATGGATTTGTTCCATTTCAAATGCAATTAACTGACTTTGCTCAAGAAGTGCTTCTCTGGAGCTGGAACATTGCATCTTTGCAGCCTGTATTGATTCACATTAATCAGAGAAAACAAATCACACAGCAGGAATAGAAAAAGTCCCCCAAACCCCCCACTGTTTATGAGACAAACAGGACAAAAACAGTAAGTGAAAGAAATAGAATTTTCAAGCTTCAGAAGAGGCCAAGACAAGAGGAGAACTGAACAACTTTTATAAGATGTGCTTGAAGATTTTGTCTTCCTGCTGGTTGCAAGACAGCAAACGGTACATCAAGGTATTTCTCCAAATAGCAGATTTCACAGCCCCCAAATACAAAATGCAATATATTAGAACAGGGCACTCAAACACACTAGCAATTTTCTTAAAGCTCATAAGAACTAAATACATGTGAAATCAAGCAGGCTATGGCTGCTTTCATCCTCAGGACTGGTTATGGAGACTGCAAGTTGCAGAGCACTCCTATGACTCATGATGGACTATCACATGCTACTGCTATGCGGCCTATATCCCCCGTACTCTCATGAAGCAGAGCCTGAGCTCACGCTGCTTATGCAAACTAGGTGCTGCAAGACATGCCTGTCTGCCAGGTAGCACGTACTCCTAAGAAGGTCAGGTAACAGTGTTGGACATCATCTTGCTTGGGGCCATTGTACAGTCATTCCCAATGAGCATTTTTAGCCTAGACTGAAATAAAATTCATTCAACTGGAAAGGTAATAGTTCCTCTCAGGAAAAAGCAACAACCTTTTTGCTGTGCTCTTATGACATTACATCCCACTAATGTGTGTGTTTGTTTTTTTTCAAACATATGGCAATAGTTTTTCCATTATAACCTTCATCTTTAATTATCATCATCCACCTCAGATGCCTGTTTGCTGCAGACAGATATCACTGTTTGGCTAGTTACATGGTTGTCAAAGACTAAGAGAATTACAAAGCAAACAAAACAAACCCTTAACATAAAGAAAAGTTTCTGACACTCACCAGTGACAGGCTGAGGTTCCCCAGCAAGTCCCATAGGTCATAGATCGTGTTCAGGCCAACCAAGAGGACTACAAAAAGGCCAACAAATTTTACCCCTGTTGCTCCAGCAAGGTTCACACCAGTCAGACTCAGCCAGAACCACCAGGAGGCAGAAAATGGCCTGCAGGACAGATAGAGCAGGTCAGTAAATAAATGATGGCTACATGAATGGGCACCTGCAATCAGGAAAATAAACAGCAAATCGGTTACCCTGCAAAATTACATTCCATCTTCTCAGGAGCCCATGAGGAACAGAAAGACAAGGTTTATATTAATTTTAGAATGTTGCAAGCATACTGGCTTCAGATACAGTCTTGTGAAGCCTTGATACAGGCTTCAGAAGGGCCCAACACTTAAGCCTGGACAGCCCTAGATCTCCCCTTTGAGGGAGAGAACATAAACACCAGGTATAAGCTAAAATACTATTGTGAAGAAAGTCTGACATGTGGAAGGTCTGAAAATAGAAACAGGACTTTTGCTCCATGAAATGCAAACTTACTTCTCTCAGAAAGCTAAGGACATAGGGGAGAACAGGAGAAAAAGTATAGCCACTTTTCCTAAAGCAGAAAGGCCATAGCAGAAAACATCTACCCAAAGCACAAACAAAAGCTGCAGCAAAAAGCAAACAAACTACAAACTAAACTAAAATTGAACCACAGAGAAAAGATGAGAAAAGATGACAGCAGAATTTAAAATCCTTTTCTGACTGACTCCTGATGCCTTGACTGTTGTATTTTGACTAGACAAAATCCCCAGGACCTGCTAAGCAACACAATAGCTAGAGCTGGCTTTTAATTTGCATAAAATCCACTAGTTTGAAAACAGGATTAGCTCTAAGACATGAGAAATAAGTTCAGGTCAAGGCATACAGAGCTGATCAGACACTGTCCTGTAACTTAGTACTTGCACTCCCTGGAGTATGTGTTGTAGATGAGGATGGCCTTGGATGGCCCTACATGACGCTGCAGGCTACATTTTAGCCATGTGTGCTGCAGTCACATTAAGATTCAGTGTGACTGATATGATATGATCAGTTCTTGAACGTTTCATGAAAAAAAAAATTGCTCACATATAACACAGTATTCTAAGCTTTTATGTGTTTGAATTCTGGATGCATTGTGGGGAAACTACTCTCTACAGCTCAGCCACAAAGAAGCCTTCTGACATATCCAAATACCTATAAATCACCCCACCCCCCCGTGGACTGGTCTATAGAACTTATCATCAGCAACTTGACTACTTCATTCGGAAACATCCTGGCTGTATTTCCTTCAAAATTTTGGTACCAATTTCTCTAAACTGAACAAATTACACTATTCACCTCAGTTACCAGGATTTTGTAAGTGCTTATAGGATTACAGTCACAGATAAGCTGTGTTTTTCCAGCCTGGAGACAAAGTGACTGGTTCAAAATAACAAATTAATATCTCTGCCATTAAGGAGCAAAGCCTTGAACAGGTTACAACCATCCTTCATTCCTCCTTTTCTGACCTACAACACTCTATACTAGCTTTCTTTCCTGCCAAGTTTTAAAAAGCTTTAACCTTCATTTTCAAGATTTTCAGTTCCATAAACACTATTTCTGCTGATATTTCCTTTCATGCTGAAATTATCTATTTAAGTCTCCCTCCTGGTTTACCCCAGCCACAATACTTTCTCCCCAGTTTCACAAACCCTCATACTAAAAATTTCTTTCCCCTACCATGAGCCATTTTCACCTCCAAATTTCCTGAAACAATCTCATCTCAGCCATCCACCCAGACTACCAAGTGGCAGATATGTTTTAGTACTTCATCTGTGTGAACACTGAGTACCTATATTTCAGCAAAATTATCATCTTTATCTTACCTATCCGCACAGCTGTTAGATTTCACCATACTCAGAACAGCTCCCATGAGGAAGAACATCAGAATGGGATCCAGCAGAATATACTGTGACAAAGTAATACAGCCCGTATCTGCAAAAAGACACACAACAACGTCAAAAAGGCTTGTGGTTCTAAAGTGAATGTAAGATTGCAGGAAGTCAGTTTCCTCAGTGTAGTCAAGACAAGGGAAACAAGGGAAATTTTAGAAACAGAAGCAGATCAGAACATTTCAACTTCTACTTGGGTAACAAATGGAAAAAAAAAAAACTCAAAAAAACCAGGCAATACAATGCTATCTGTGAAACACCATTTGGGAGGTGCTGCTAACATATTCAGATGGAGAGCGTTACAGACAGCAATGATCTACCTACTACGGCACCAGCATGGTGCCAGAGGATGCTACAGGAGAAGTCATCTTTCAGATGTTACCTAGAAAAACTGAATATGACTTGGTATTTTAAGTCTCTGTGCCTCAATATCTGTGCATCCTCACAATACCCCAATCTGGGTAACTCCATTTGCAATGTTGAATTGAGCCAAGTGGAGAAATTAACAAGGAACTTTATTTATTTCTTACTGCGAACTCTTCCACAGTAATGCAGTAAGCTATTAAGTACCTCTATAATTCATATGGGAGACATCAATACTTCACTAGTGGGCAAAATCATTCCTGACCATCCATCTTATAAAAATTCTTAAAATTGAGGTAAAATGTAGTCCAATGCTGTGGTTATGCAGATAACAGAAGTACCTATGAACTAAACAAGACTGTAAAATTCTCAAGGGGACCACCAATTAAAAAGCTTCATATATAAAATACAGAATTACTTTGCTTTTGGGAATCTCTGCTACTAACCCAAATAGCCCCTGGCTAGGTAACACATGATAATCCAGAAATTAAATTCTCTAAACAATTAACCTGCTCAATTTTGCTGTAGCAGGAACACCTACCAAAAATAAGGACACAAGCTGTGAGTAAGGCTGCTGGCAGTGACTTTGACAGTTCCAACACTGTGAGGTAGGCAAAGGGAACCAGGCAGGAGCCAAGGAATGCACAGAACTGCAGGAAAAGAAGATCACGGGAGAAGTTATAACCCTCCCCAAGGTGAACATGCACCCATACCTTTTCCCTTCATCTTCCACACCTACCAACAACAGGAAGCGTTGCAGTAGCTGAAGTGACTGACTAAGAACATCAGGCAAAAGCCAAATGAACAAAGATACTGTTCAGAGAAGGACAGCTGCTTACTCCGTTTTGCGGAGGTGTCAGTAACAAGTCAGTCATTCTCTTGCTAGACTACATCAGATATTCATAAAAAGGTACGTCAAGTAGGTGCACTACACATCCACCATACTCAACTTATTTTAAGAAGACATCAGAATACAAAATCTAAGAATAAAATACACCTGTACCTTACATCTTTAGTAGGCCAGTATCACCTCCCCCTACGCAACTGACACTGAGGATATTTGAAGGAGGAAAAAGAGAAATCAAAACAAAAGAAAGCAGTATCACAGTAAAATTTGTTCTTTTCAATGTCTGGTTCTAGCACTTCTCCCACCTTTGGCACAGGGCAACCTAGAACCATGAATTGCTGGAGACCCAGAAACTAAACCAAGAAAATATGCCTTCCCACTTTTTATTCTTCTTTCTAGACACTAGCAATTGGCCACTGTTTCTTCTTTTGGCTCATGTTATCTGCTGTCAGTTTTATGGCTCTTGGCCTTCCTAGAGAGCAGTACAGCCAGGGTTTCAGACAGAATACCACTCTGAAGAGTAATTTCGCCCCCCACTCCACCAGCTTACTCAGCTCAGTGTCACTGGTGGTGGCAAATGCAGGTGGCAGTGGATGATCCTGGCTTTTTGACATCCTTGGCTCCCCAGAAGAGCAGCCAGGCACAACGGAGTGAGCAGGAGCCCAAGCTAAGCAATGTCCCCTTTGCAGAAAAGGCAAGATATCTGTCCCACTCAGGAGCATGGTCCCACTAATCAGCAGCAAGAGTTGGACTCAAAAATCACCTTACTGTCTTACCTGGCTGCTCACAGTCAGACATTAAGACTTCATCACAAATACAACCAATAACACTTTTCTAAGGAGGTTAAAGACAAGGCACAAAGCTAAACAGACCTCTGATCTGATCCAGGAGAGCTGTTCTTATGACATTACACTCTGTACTGAAAAGCACAGGAGAGATAACCAGTTTGATACTAGCCTGTAGAGCCTTACCCCTCTCATTCCCATGTAGTTGTGCTGCTCATATCTGTCCCCTGGCTTTTGGAAAGGAAAGGTACCATCATATCCACTAAGGTAGCCAGCAAGTCCAATCAGCATCTGAAGAGGAAAGGTGAAAAAACTGGTCAGGGAAATTACATTGGAGGAAGGAATATCCAAGCCAGCAGCAAGTAAGATTTTTATAGAAGCCAAGTCTAACCCAGGGGATAACTACTTAATTTAGAGACACCATCCAAACAAGAGTTTATGTACAGAATTCACATGCATAGACATTGCCCTTTGTCTAAAGGCAAAATCAGAAGGGATCAAAAGGACTTTGGCTGCTGACTACAAGGATTACTGCAAGCTCAAGAGAAATACCAGGTGTGGGATTTAGCAGAGAGAATTTTGTCTCTGTAGATTCTCCCATAGCTCCCTATTCCTATAGTTTAGGAAGACTCAGCCTGAAAGGAAGATAACCTTTCCGAGGCAGGAGGAGTGCACCTTCATCAACACTGCACACTGTTGCTAGAACAAGTTCTTCAATTACAGAACAGCAAGTCAAGGCTTTCAGGGTCCTTTGTGGTTGGCATCTCATTTGCACACAAGCTACCGGGAGCCACCTGGTTCCTTTGAACTGTAGGCTTCTATTACATCTCTCCTCCAAACCACTTAAGTGCCACGTTCATTTTGTAATTTCAAGCCTTTCAAATACCCAACATGCAATACTGTTTTGTTTTCCCATATTCAAAGTATTTTCCTAAAGAAGAAAAGATGCAAGTTGAGGCTCTGGGTACAGAATGTAAATCACCACGATGCCAACAACAGTTAGGAAAGGTATTGGTGCTCATCATATCCTTCAGCCAGAAGGAAGGGGAAGACTTTTGTTGGCCCACTCCTGTGGCTTCTAAAACATGTAACAGAAGAGCAGTTTACCTTCCCCAAAGGGGGGTGGACATCAAAGAAGAAGGTCCGATTAATGTAGTAGCTTCCCATCTTCCCAAAATGGGTTTCATCCCAACTGGGAAAAACAAACAAACACACAACCTGCTATAACGAAGGCTGTAAAAAAATCCAGGAAGGTCTTTTTACTCACGCTTTTCATCATGTAGAGGGTTAGTGCCACACATTCGATATGAGACAATGTGTTAAATTCACCGGTAAATCATGGAGAGTACTGCAGCCGTTCTAGGCAGGGTCCATTTTAAAGCGTTTGACATTAGCACTCCAAAACCCCTCACCCACCCTCCCGATTCCAGACTGAGCTAAGAGATGTTAAAAGTCAGCCTGCAACCCACAGATCCCCGAAACTGCCTCCCCGAGGCCGGGTCCCCGCCCTGCAGCGCGTCCCCAGAGCAGCGGGGAGAGCGGCTCGGGGGCCGGGGCCGGGTCCGGGCTGGCCAGAGAACACAGCGCTTCCCCGTGGCCCTCCCTGCCAGGACCCCCCCATCCCACCGCCTGCCTGCAATAAGCACCGAGCCCTTCCCAGCCGGGCAAGGCGGGGGCGGGCGGGTGCGGGGGAACGGGGCGAGGCTGGGGGCCGGGCGCGGCCACGAAAGCCGGCTGCTTCCGGGGGGCGCCTGCCGGGAGGAGGCGGACACCCACCC